CCCCCATATCACTTGTACTACATATAGAAACGAAGTTCTCTTAAATTTAATATCGGCAGTGTTGACTCATTTGAGAGGAATCTAGAACAAGCCCAGAATGAGTTAGGAGTGACTCCAGCTAACCACATCCCTGTAGTTTATGTAGCCGAAGCTAATCTACTGTAAGTTATAAAAGCAATTTATTAATAACATTGTCAATATTTTTTCTCCATTTTCAGTAAAGAGGTCATAAAGTTGATTCCCTCTATGCTTGTTCTTGGGGCAATCTTCTACTTCAGTCGTAGGTTGACTTCTGGTAGTGGAGGTGGGCGTGGTGTAAGTTAACCACACCCTTTTTATTATTATCATCATTATTATTATTAATTAGGGTATATTTGGTGTGGGACAATCAACAGCTAAGTTCATTAACAAAGAAACTAACATTAAGACCAAATTTGGGTCAGTCACTCAATTTTTAATTTAAAAATTTATTTGACTTGCATGTACATGTAGCTGTAAGATTTTTGTTTTATTTTATTTTTCAATTAATTTTCTCCTAATGCTTTCACTGTAGTGATGTGGCCGGTTGTGAAGAAGCCAAAGTTGAAATAATGGAGTTCGTCAACTTCTTGAAAAATCCTAAACAGTATCTTGATCTCGGAGCTAAAATACCAAAAGTATATTCACACCAACCTATTCCTATACAGATGTACCTTTAGTACCATTATATATACTATACATGTACATTGTACATGTATTGTGTGTGTACATGTACATGTAATTGTTATTTTCCTTTACTGTCACAGGGTGCTATTCTCAGTGGTCCTCCTGGTACTGGTAAGACGCTGCTAGCTAAAGCAACAGCTGGTGAGGCCGGAGTACCTTTCCTCAGTATATCAGGGTCTGAGTTCCTGGAGATGTTCGTTGGAGTTGGGCCTGCCAGAGTAAGCAGCAGCTGTTTAATAATAATAATGATGATCAGGACTCCACTTTATGATAGCACATTAGTATTTTACGTAGCAATAGTACATCAATATGTATCAGAAAATATAATAAAAATAATAATTAATAAAAATTGTGGGTGATTCTGGAGCCATTTTTGAAAAAAAGCATGGGCTATATAGTACAGGGTATTTTTTGAAATTGGCTGATCTTTTAAAATGTCCATAACTCAAGGATTTAATAAATTCTGTTTAGGTAAGAGATCTCTTCTCTCAAGCGAGGAAGAACGCTCCCTGTATCATCTTCATTGATGAGATTGATGCCGTGGGTAGGGCTAGAGGGAGGAAGGGAAGTTTTGGTGGACACGATGAAAGAGAAAACACACTCAACCAGCTGCTAGTAGAGATGGACGGTAAGGACATTAATGTAGATAAGTATATTCATCATAATACCGTAAGTGTAGAAATTTTCGAGGTAATAAATTTTCGTGGTTTTGTGTTAGTTGTATAAATTTCACGTGGATAAAATTTCGCAGATAATCATATAGAAGGGGTGGTCAGTGAAGTCACGTGATGTGACTTTACTGACTCTCCTCATTTTCTACTTTACTTCTCTGGATCTTTAGCAACACCAGCTGCATGTGACTTCTCCTCAGGTTTGTCTTCTTCACTATCTTGTCCTTACTTTTATTCACACGCCTGAAGAACTTGTACAGTGCCATTGTTATTAACAACTATAATTGGACGTTTGGGCGTTCTGTTCATAAAGGGTTAAAATATTAATTTTCACGGTTAGCTAGTACCCGCGAAAACAGCGAAAATTAATACACCTCGAAAATTTCTACACTTACGGTAACATGTGTATATATGTATACCTATACTTTAGGTTTCAATACGACTACCAATGTTGTTGTTTTGGCTGGTACTAACAGACCTGATGTCCTTGATCCTGCACTAATGAGGCCGGGTCGCTTTGACAGACAAATATACTTACCGCCACCTGACATCAAGGGAAGGTATGGCACCTACACATGTACCAGCTATTACATTTTCTGATACATATTGATGTCCTTATGCTGTGTAGAAAGTTTGAGGCGATTCCGAGAAGAAATTTTCAAGTTATGGCCATTTTAAGAAATGGGCCAATTTCTGAAAAATCCCCTGTACTATAGCCCATGGTTTTTCCCAAAAAATGGCTCCGAAATTACCCCCAATTTTTATTAGATTTTCTGATACATATTGATATCTTTATGCTGTGTAGAAAGTTTGAGGCGATTCCGACAAGAAAATTTTAAGTTATGGCCATTTTTAAAAACGAGCCAATTTCTGAAAAATCCCCTGTACTATAGCCCATGGTTTTTTCCGAAAAATGGCTCCGAAATCACCCCCAATTTTTATTACATTTTCTGATACATATTGATGTACTTATGCTGTGTAGAAAGTTTGAGCCAATTCCAACAAGAAAATTTTAAGTTATGGCCATTTTTGAAATTGGCCAATATTCAAAAAATGGTTTTATCATTTTGTGCTAACACATCATTATGCCCTTTCTCCTATAGAGCTTCAATATTTCGTGTGCACCTCAAACCGATCAAAACAAGTCTAAACATTGATGATCTAGCAAGGAAGCTTGCCGCCCGTACTCCAGGATTCACTGGCGCTGATGTTGCTAACGTCTGCAATGAAGCAGCTCTCATAGCTGCTCGGTATTTAGCCACTGACGTCCTTATGACTCACTTTGAACAAGCCATTGAGCGAGTGATAGGAGGACTGGAGAAGAAGACTCTAGTCATACAACCAGAGGAAAAGAAAGTCATTGCTTACCACGAGGCTGGACACGCAGTGGTGGGTTGGTTCATGAGATATGCTGACCCACTAATGAAAGTAAAGAGAGACAGAATATATAATTCACAATTAATGTACATATATATGTATATGTAGGTTTCTATAATTCCAAGAGGTAAGGGATTGGGTTATGCTCAATATCTACCAAGAGAACAACACATCTACACTACTGAAGAGGTTCTTATATACACACATACATGTACATGTACAGTTACGTATTAGTTAAAGCACTGTTGAGAGTAGGTTATGGAAATTATTGCACGAGGGGCGGTCGAGAGGAAAATGTAGCACGAGGTGCAGCCGAGTGCTACATTTTCATCGAGACCGTCCCAAGTGCAATAATTTCTGTAATCTACGAATCAACAGTGCTTTGATTGGTTTGTAGTGGTGCGTGGGTGGATCAAATGAAATTTCAAAAGTCGCGCAGGTGGCCAGCGCCATACTACAAATGTACATGTACATGTACATTGTCTCTATATCATAATCAGAATATACATGTACTTATGTGTGTCTGAGATAAAAGTTTAAATATTATATAGAAGATATAGTATATACATGTAGTATGTACAATGTATGTAGTTTAGTAAACCCTCCCATCTGAGAGAGCTTGCTCATGAGAACGGAAGGAGCGACAGGGATGATGGTAAGAGGAGCGTGCACCTCTGAGACACATAATAGAGCTCCTAAGAAGAGAGAATGAAATACGGCAACGAATCCAGTTAAGTATGGTAGAGTAGGATTTGGAGTAACGGATAGAGAGTTACATGTACATGTACATGTACATGTACATGTACATGTACATGTACATGTACATGTACATGTACATTATGTTCATGGTCATTTCTGCAATATACATGTGTACATGATATACTGTCCTTAGCTCTATATAGCTTTCATTGTCTACCTCTTTCTCTCTCTCTCTCTCTTTCTCTCTCTCTCCCTCTCCAGCTGTTTGATAGAATGTGCATGATTTTAGGTGGCAGAGCCAGCGAGCAAGTGTTTTTTGGTAGAATAACAACAGGTAAACAAGAAACAAGCAAAACAAACAAATTATTATTATTATTATTATTATTATTATTATTATTATTATTATCATCATTTAGGAGCTCATGATGACCTTAAAAAGGTGACAGGAATGGCTTATTCACAAGTAAACTATTAACTGTGCTATCTTATCACAATACCATTGTGTCTTGTAGTGATACACTAGTCTCCACCCCTGGGTGGTGGGACTAGTGATACACATGTACATGTACTTTAGTGTTTTGTGTTCTAATTCTAATTGGCTCCATCATATAGCACATGTTACTGGGAGGCAGCTGCACGTACCTGGTATAATGTTACAAACTGATGTAGCCCTCAATAGATGTACATGTATATGGTATTTAATACTTTTAGTCTTTACAATTATTATTGCACATTTACTTATTATTTGCTACATCCTACAGTGTATTTTACTGGGATATAGCTCCATGTGCATGTAGCAGCAAACCTTTTACCTCTTGATAGGTGTACTTGTATCTACATGTATATGGTATCCAAAGTTGTAGAACCTATTATTCTAATTAATTGCTATTAGCTCCATCCTGGTACATAATTCAATTACTCCACAGCAGTTGTGAGTAACCACTGAATCCAATCCTTTAGCAATGATGTAGGGTATCCATAGTTCTGCATCTTTAATGTGTTTTGGCTGGATCGAAGCCTAACCACTTTAACCACTTTACTGGGTCAACTCCACGTTCATGTAACAGTATCAAGTTTCAAACCTCTTAGCTCTTGATAGATGTATATGGCATCCAAAATTTTAGAGCCTATTATTTTTAATTGGTTGCTATTAGTTTCAAGCGTGCTGCATATTTCACCAATTATACTATAATTGCTTTGCTTTTAGCAATTACTTTTATGGCTCTGGCTACACTATGCATCCATGGTATCCCCACCTCAAACAAGTGATAAGTGGTCTCGGGCTATGCTCTTGACCAGTTATCTCACAGGACTTGTGTACACATGATCACCTTGGTTTCTACACTTATTTTTTAATTTTATATATATTTTTAGATTGCCAAATATGGTATGAATGATGAGGTCGGTCAGGTTTCTTTTGACCTCCCCGGTGAAGGCGACCAAATGTTTGAGAAACCTTACAGCGAAGCAACAGCTCAACTGATAGACGATCAAGCAAGAGACCTCATTTCAAGAGCCTACCAATCAACGATACAGCTGCTAGAGGAGAAGAGAGAGTCTGTCGTCAAAGTGGCCGAGAGATTATTACAGCAAGAGGTTCTTCAACGTGAAGATATGATAGAACTTTTAGGCCCAAGGCCTTTCCCAGAGAAATCAACTTACGAAGAGTTTGTTGAAGGTACTGGGTCTCTTGATGAAGACACTAGTCTACCAAAAGGTTTGGAAGGAATGAAAGATGGAGGAGGAGGAGGTGGAACTACTGTTTCACCAGATGCAGTATCATGATGATATAGATATAACTGTTCCATAAGTAAACTTAATTTATTATCACGCTAAGTGTCTCAATTATT